GCTTACTCACCTGAAATGACTCATCAGTGCGTTGCCTACTGCCTCGATTCCTAGGAGACCCTCCCCAGCACCTAACCGCAGTGTGTCCTCTGCGGCCACAGTTGGTGCAGGGGACGGCCTCTCTCCTGGTCTCCCTCCTAGTCTCCCTAGCACCAGCACCCCCGAGCTCCATAGGGCTCGGCCCGGAAGTGCTGGGGGATGGAATGGTCGGCCCCAGCTCCGGACGTCCGCGGGTAGCCAACAGGGTATCTAGGCGAATCGACATGTCCACCACAGTGGCGGCTCCTGAAAAAATTCTCAGGAGGGGCAATTTTTCTGATGATTTAGGTGACCTACACACATTTTAAAAAAGATATGTCCAGCAACAACATGAAGACAGGGGCAGCATATAAGTCAATACCAGAAGCATTTATTGACCGATCTGGGGAGATGGATTCCAGTTTCTGTGACAGATTATAAATAATCTCTGATGCCTTTGTTATATTAGCTTTTGGTTGAATGTACTGTCGTAGTAAATATATAATGTTATAGCTTGGTCTGACTAAAATCTTGTGCATGACCCATTTTGTGTTGGGCGTTTGTTTTCAATCAATGCTGTTCCTATCCTATAACAATGGACAAAAGAGTCCTATCTTGTCAGCCTTGTCAGCAGGTGGCCAAGGACAACACCCACGCCATAGGTCTCTCAGTTCTTCCAACTCACGAGTTCTTGCTCTGAGGACACACACACACACACACACACACACATCATCACTGATAACACACACACACACACACATCATCACTGTTAAACACACACACACACACACACAAAAATCCCCTCTCTTTAGGCTGAACATTTGAAGACAGAGAACCCGACTCAGAGCCAATGCAACAGTGGAGGGGACCTCGCCCAACTCATCAGGACCAATCAGAAGATCAGAACTACTAGATTCAACCTACATCATTTATTGTATAAAATGTCTGCACACAATGTTTTCGGGGCTCTCTTCTCCCTAAGAGTTTGACGAACGAGTCTGTGCACGCGATTCCAGATATCTTTACCTCTGAATAAACTGCCTTTATTATACCATATCCACCCTGTCCAAAGTCTCTACTTGGTCTCAGTTCTCCAGTAAACTTGTGATTATCAACAGTACACAACGGTAACAAACAATTGGGGGAACTCACGGGGCAGATAGTAAGGTCGCAATGACACAGAAAGCAGTTCAATGTCGGGGTACAGAGTCGCTCTCTTACCAGGATCGCGGTCCGCTCTGACCAGGGTGAAGCCGGCCGGCTCCACTTCTCTGTCCGGGACTCTGTCATCCAGCCAAGTCTCCCAGCTGTATTGGGATTCCGCTGCCAGCAGCGTTTTCATTATTTAGTCCGTTCGTAGCGGGTATGTACACGATCAACAAGATCAGTCCAAAACCAACCACTGGAAATCCATGGTTGGCAGAATGTTTGTAAACTAAGTCTACAAATTAAAAACATAAAATAACGCCACACTGCAGGTCGCAACAGAGACGCTGCTAGCCGCTATTGTCTTAGTTACGTTCATGGTTACGTCACGTATGACGAAAGCGCGTAAGTGCAAGCCCACAGACACCCATAGAGAATGTATTGAAAGCTTTGAAATTTGAAAAAAATAGATTTTACATGACAGGCTATGAGAGACTTCTGGGCGATTTTCAACTTGACTGAAATCGCCCCAAAAACAGGCGGGGCCATTTGAAGCACGACTTTAGCCTGATTTGACATTTAGTGGCTGGCAGATCAGACGTGAACACTGATAACTACTGTTGCCGTGATATAATTGATTAGAAAAAAAATCCCTTCCTTTTCCCGTTTGGCAGTGCGTCGCCCATATCGCCCTATTGAACAGGCCGTCCCTGGTCCACCAGCTGATCGAAGCTTAGGTTGGTGTCCCTGCAGGCCAACTCTCGACGAACGTCCTCCCTTAAGCTGCACCTGTAGTGGTCGATGAGGGCCCTCTCATTCCATCCCGCATTGGCAGCCAGAGTCCGGAAGTCCAGTGCGAACTCCTGAGCGCTCCTCTTCCCCTGTCTGAGGTGGAACAGACGCTCACCCGCCGCCTTCCCCTCTGGGGGATGATCGAACACCGCCCTGAAGCGGCGGGTGAACTCCGCATAGTTCACTGTAGTGGCGTCTATTCCCCCCCACTCGCCGTTGGCCCACTCCAGTGCCTTGCCGGACAGACAGGAGATGAGGGCGGACACGCTCTCGTATCCCGAGGGCGCCGGGTGGATGGTTGCCAGGTAGAGTTCCACTTGGAGCAGGAAACCCTGACACCCGGCTGCGGTGCCATCATAAGCCCTCGGGAGCGAGAGCCGAATCCCACTGGACTCCTGATGTGAAACGATGGGTATGGCTGATGGTGATGGTATCGTTGGAGGAGGGGTGGGCAAACCTCCTCTTTCCCATCGCCTCAAGGTGTTAATCTCCCCTTCCATGGCGGTACCAAGATCCTGGAGCATAGCCGCCTGTTGTAAAACGCGCCCTTCCAGTGATCCCGTTGGCACCGCCGCTCCTGCTGACTCATTTTACATTTACATTTTAGTCATTTAGCAGACGCTCTTATCCAGAGCGACTTACAGTTAGTGAATACATTTTATTTTTATTTATTTTTATACTGGCCCCCCGTGGGAATCGAACCCACAACCCTGGCATTGCAAACGCCATGCCCTATCAACGCTACATCCCTGCCGGCCATTCCCTCCCCTACCCTGGACGACGCTGGGCCAATTGTGCGCCGCCCATGAGTCTCCCGGTCGCGGCCGGCTGCGACAGAGCCTGGATTCGAACCAGGATCTCTAGTGGCACAGTTAGCACTGCGATGCAGTGCCTTAGACCACTGCGCCACTCATGTCGTGGTGTGTGATTCTGTCACGAATGTCAGTGAAATGCGGTGGAAGAAGTCAGGCGCAGGACACAGAACTCTCGGAAACGTACTTTACTCAGAATGCAAAGAACACGAAACAGGATACCTCCACACAGGGAGGAACTAACCCGCTCACCAACGACACACGTCACAAAGAAACAATCACACACAAAATCCAAATGAGAGACAGGGGTAAATATATGGCATACAATCAAACATAATGGGGAACAGGTGTAAACAATACAGACTAAACTAGACAAACACCGAAACATCGATCGGCAGCAGCTAGTACTCCGGGGACGACGAACGCCGAAGCCTGCCCGAGCAAGGAGGAGGAGCAGCCTCGGCAGAATCCGTGACAATGGGAACTAGTTTAGTGTTTTTGTTTTCCTATTACTGTTGGACAATACAACACCCCTCTATTCATTTTCAATCTTTTCTTACAATCAGTCCTGACATTAGCAAATCTAAAGCACTACCCTAAACCTTTTTTTATCATGTGAATCTAACCTCCCTCCATTTACTTTCATCTTTTGTGTCACAGCAATGCCTAACTGGATAACACACAGCAGGAGGTGTTAAGAGGCCAGAGAAAACAATTTCCATATAATATCACTGTTTTCTCTGTGGTACATGTATTGTTTTTTAAAGAATCGGTTTATGCATTGGCTTATTAGGTCATTAGAACATTGCAGAAGCAAAGTGCGGAAACCTTCTCAAAGAAACAAAAGGAGAGGCCCTCTTTAGATGATTTACACAGAGTGTTGCTATCCAGCTGTGTCCCACTGTAATTCAACTCACCCAAGCCTTTTATTATACAAAGTAGAGCCACTTGCTCTGTTTTCCCACCCATCTGTCAAACTCACACTCCTCACCATGAGCCCTCATCATATTGTTTTTTGAAGGTTTTACAAAGATCTATGCTATAAGAAACCATTATCAAAATACCCAAATGACACATTGTTATCCTGATATTACACCGGGGGAAGGAGATTCTATGGTTTTATAAACATGATTACAGTTGTTATTCCCACACGACAGTTCCCTGCTGTGTTTCTAACTTTCCCATATCCTGAAGAAAGGTACATCAATAATTCAATATCGCTGAATATGATTAGACTGTAGGGTGAAGTTATGGAATAATATTAATCTTGGTGAATAAGGGAGGACTTGTCTACGGGAACCAGCATCTACTACTCTCTGGAGTAGGTTCATGGGTATGAATGAGTGTGTGGAACAATGGGCACGGGGCAGGCAGTAACCCTGGACAGTGGAGGCCCTTGGTGATGAGATGATAGTATTCGAGCTTCCTGTCCTGTAGAGCTCAGCAGGAGGGACTGGGTGTACTGAAGCTGCCTCCTCCTCCTCTGAAGATCTGAGCAGCTCCCCAAAAAAGACCTAATTTTCGTCCCTCTTTAATAGTGGTGTTTTCATTTTCAATGTAATATTTAGGACCATCTGCACAATTTAGCCAGCAGCTTTTAATGAGCAGCTTTGTTGTAAACAGTTTGTACAACAAAAAACTAAGTCACAAAGTTTGATGCCAATCACATCAAAGAACAGTACCTGCCTGTTCATGAATGGTTAGTGAACTGAACTTCTCATGAATGGTTACTTAACGTCTCATGAATGGCTATAATTCATGTTTTATATATGTTAATGTTTACAGTATCGGCTCACTGTAGGTATGTTTATAGTTAAATGTTGATAAGTAAACTAAATAATAATAATAATAATATGCCATTTAGCAGACGCTTTTATCTAAACAAACTGAATTAGCGTATTTTAGCTTTGTAGGCTACTGTACTGCTCTGTTGTTTGTGGGATCATACTGCATGCACCAGGTGGCAGTCTACATTCAATGTTTCACTCAAATTCTGCTTCTCAGAATTCACTGCTACATGATATCAGTTTGATAATCTCTTTTGATAATTACATACATTGTTGCCTGTGATAGCGTAATCGTGCATGAGTGTCGCCAAAGGTCTCGCCTATTTGTTTTGATCTCACCGTACTATTTCGTTTCATTTGTCCACCAGCTTTATGAATAGTCACATGACAAAGATCCTGTCCAATCAGCTGCCTCCAGAAGAATGCTCGTAATTTTAAACCGTGTGGAATGCCACTGGTGGCTGCGTCGCCGTCGACAATGTGGCAAATTGGGCACTGATAACCAACAAACTACAATCATTTGGGTTGTTTGCGCGTTGATATGATGAGTTCTCATATTGTCACTCCCGGGCCTTACAGGGCGACAAAACTGGTAAGCTTTTCTTGTACACTTGTTCTTGTTGTGAAGTTAGCTAGCTAACGTTAAACCGTTAACTAGCAAGCTAACGTTACGATGCTAGCTATGCTGCAAGTTGGGCAAACTAGCTAGCTATGCTGCAATTTGGGCAAATAGGCTGGCAAGTTAGCTAACTAGTATGCTGCAACTTGGCTGGCTGGCTGGCTAGCTAGCAAGCTATGCTGCAAGTTGGCTAACTAGCTACTGTAGAACTGTGCAGATCACTCACAATGTAATATAACGCTGTCTGTTATCCGTGTTGTTTTTTTCCAGAGTCGGACAGCCCCACATATTTTAGGCCAGCAATGTTACTGAGGATTAGCTAGTTAGTAACGTTAGCGACAATCCCCTGATCATTTATTATGGTGACTTGCCAACGTCAGGATGTGTTCACATCAGTAATTAGCAGTTGAAACACTCCCCGCCCCTGTTTCGGTTGAAAGCTGAGAGATGGGGCTGGAGAAATGTAACCACTCAAATTCATAGACATAGCGAGTCATTGGATGAAGTTGTCCTTCTGTATGGGGGAGATTTGTTAAGAGCCCCAGGGCTCAATCAGAAAATTAACACGCGGTATGGTTTTGGAAGCAAGGACCTTATCTTTCATATCAGCGATAAATCACACGGCCATATCTACATGTTACAGCACTTGTGGAAGACGAGGCGATCACCTGTGCTAATTAGCGAACACCTGTGTGTAAGCGTAATTCTGGAAGTGTAGCAGAAGGGTAGTTTCGTTGGATTGAGGCACCCATAGCTGTATGGATATGTGAAAAACTGCTACTGTAAGTATCTTTTATTTGAAGGATTATTTATTGCTGATGAAAGATAAGGGCTATATGTTTCGAAATCCATATCTCAAGCGATGATTATTGACGTTTCTAAACGTTCAAACACAGCATCAGAGTTTTCGAGATCTATGGATGCAAAGACTGACCATCCATGATATCAAAATGATCGTTTAACCATGTTTTTAGGCTATATAGTGTTACATTTATAGTGCTATATAGTGTTAGTTATTTTGTTTACAAACACTGGAGTAAACTAGTCTGATTAATCAGGCTGTAATTTTACATTTACGTCATTTAGCAGACGCTCTTATCCAGAGCGACTTACAAATTGGTGTATATACACTCTGAAAACCTGTAAATGTTCCTTACAAGTAAGAATGTTGAATGAAATTACATTTCAACTTACTCTACCGGTTGTCTGTGGGGTTTGTACTTCAGCTGCTCGAAATTTGAGACAAAATATATTTCTGAAATAATTTTTGGAGAGCTGGTGTGTATATGGTTAGGTTTGGCACCAAGGTAAAGTCAGTTTTACATTGGATATCCGGTTTTCGCTCGTCAGCAGCTATTTAACCAAGCATGCCATGACAATGAAAATTGTCTATTCTGAATCAGGGGAGGGTGGAGAACAATCTACACCTTTTTTTCATAATATTTGAAATCTGAATACAAAATTGGACAAACCTCACAGACAACCGGTAGAGTAAGTGCAAATGTAATGTTATTCAACCTTCTGGCTTGTAAGGAACGTTTACACGATTTATCAAATTTTTCAGGCCAATTAATTGTGTATTACAGCCTGGTTAATCAGACTACAGTAAAACAAGTTTATATTTTGGGTTCTGATGGGGTACGACAGTTAAACAAAGCTCATGAGGCATCTATGTTATATTCTTCAAGAATCAATGGGTACATATAATTAATTCACATGTCCAAAAATGTATGTAGCACCTGCAGATTGCACCTTTTAACAATATGCAAGTTTAGACGACTCTCCCGAGTGGCGCAGTGGTCTAAGGCACTGCATCGCAGTACTAGCTGTGCCACTAGAGATCCTGGTTCGGATCCAGGCTCTGTCGTAACCGGCCGCGACTGGGAGACCCATGGGGCGGCGCACAATTGGCCCAGGGTCATCCAGGGTAGGGGAGGGAATGGCCGGCAGGGATGTAGCTCAGTTGGTAGAGCATGGCGTTTGCAACGCCAGGGTTGTGGGTTCGATTCCCACAGGGGGCCAGTATGAAAAAAAAATAAAAAAAATGTATGCACTCACTAACTGTAAGTCACTCTGGATAAGAGCGTCTGCTAAATGACTAAAATGCAATGTTACAGATAACTAGCTAGTCTTTTGAAAGTACTGTGTATGTGTGTATATAGAAAGCTTAAACAATTTAATTTGCAGTGGAATGAAGTCACGAAGCTATTCCGAGCAGGGATGCCTCTGCGGAAACATCGACAACACTTCAGAGTGTATGGGAACTGTTTTACTGCCGTAGCAGCTGTCGACTGGTTACACGAACTGCTCAGGAACAATAGTAACTTCGGACCAGATGTCACCAGACAACAGACTGTCCAGCTGCTGAAGAAGTTCCTCAAAAATCATGTGATCGAGGATGTGAAGGGCAGATGGGGTTCAGAAGATATGGAAGAGAACAGCCATCTCTACAGGTAGCCTAAATAGTTCACTCAGGCCGTTTACCATTGAAAAAATAGTTAATGTTGCTGTATAAGTGGGCGTTCTCTCTCTCGTGTGAACATGCTTTCCCGCATGAGCTCACGGTTCCTCTATAATCTTTCGCATTCTCACTTGAGAGGGGAAACAGCTGGCTTTGGTCTACTTATAGATACACATGGCAAGGCGTGGCTTAAGGTGACCACGCCCCCGAGTAGTGTACAGCCGTAGGGTACTCCTGTTACTTCCATGTAATTAGCCTAACTTTGGCGTCATCCTAAGCAAACTGAAGCTTTTTTTGTCGTTTCAATAAATGTTTTCAGCGTTACTTGTCGTTATTAACATACTTGGCTGTCACAACAAATTATTTGCATGATACTTATTCTGCCACTCTAATTTGTTACCCGACATGCTAACACTTACAGTAAAGCTGTAGCTTTATACTTACGTCACTGTTTGTTAACCCCTAGCATTTTTGCCGGTTAGTTAGCTGTCTGGCTAGCGAGAGAAGTTCGTCTCGATCTAATTCGCTAGTCACGTAACTACTTCCACTATTTGCCTACCCTTGAACAGTGTAGTTATTTTAAAAAGTGGATTATTTTTGGCTTGCATATGTCCTTTCAACTTGCCGGAGACCAGCTGGGCATACAACCTTACCAAATGGCCCTAACCAAAGTAGCCTATATGGTGATGTCTACACCTACTTGGTGGAATCTCCAAGTTTGCATAAATATTCAAATGCAAAATAATATTATAGCTGTTATTTGGACGGATACAGCTCACTAGTCCTTACTACAAGCTAACTAGCAAGCTTTATGCAAAGCGACTTACCGGTGAAGTGCTTGAACACACACAAATGTATCGAGTAACCGGAGCCCACAGCTTTCCATCATCGATAGCCTGAAACCATAAGGTTCGTCTAACCTGGTCCTTGGGCAGTTGATTAAACTTAATTTGGTGGTCTTTTCTCTGTTCAAATAAAACGGTAAGCAACAGCTTTTTGGCATCTTAAAAGCAGGGTTAGCTAGCTAATTGAAGAAAGTCAGTTGGAATCGGCTCTTTGGCTAATAATCGTAAAAGTTTGGGGTCACTTAGAAATGTCCTTGTTTTAGAAAGACAAGCAATGTTTTGGTCCATTTAAAAGAACATCAAATTGATCAGAAATACAGTGTAGACATTGTTAATGTTGTAAATGGCTATTGTAGCTGGAAACGGCTGATTAAAAAAAAAAAAGGAATATCTATGTAGGCGTACAGAGGCCCATTATCAGCAACCATCAGTCCTGTGTTCCAATGGCACGTTGTTTGCTAATCCAAGTTTATCATTTTTAAAAGGCTAATTGATCATTAGAAAACCCTCTTGCAAGTATGTTAGCACAGCTGAAAACTGTTGTGCTGATTAAAGAAGAAATAAAACTGGCCTTGAGATTAGTTGAGTATCTGGAGCACCAGCAATTGTGGGTTCGATTACAGGATCAAAATGGCCAGAAACAAATAACTTTCTTCTAAAACTCGTCAGTCTATTCTTGTTCTGAGAAATGAAGGCTATTCCATGCGAGAAATTGCCAAGAAACTGAAGATCTCGTACAACGCTGTGTACTACTCCCTTCACAGAACAACGCAAACTGGCTCTAACCAGAATAGAAAGAGGAGTGGGAGGCCCCGGTGCACAACTGAGCAAGAGGATACATTAGTGTCTAGTTTGAGAAAGACGCCTCACAGGTCCTCAACTGGCAGCTTCATTAAATAGTACCCGCAAAACAACAGTCTCAACATCAACAGTGAAGCAGCGACTCCGGGATGCTGACCTTCTAGGCAGAGTTGCAAAGAAAAAGCCATCTCAGACTGGCCAATAAAAAGAAAAGATTAAGATGGGCAAAAGAACACCGACACTGGACAGAGGAAGATTGGAAAAAAGTGTTATGGACAGACAAATCAAAGTTTGAGGTGTTCGGATCACAAAGAAGAACATTTGTGAGACGCAGACCAAATGAAAAGATGCTGGAGGAGTGCTTGATGCCATCTGTCAAACATGGTGGAGGCAATGTGATGGTCTGGGGGTGCTTTGGTGGTGGTAAAGTGGGAGATTTGTACAGGGTAAAAGGGATCTTGAAGAAGGAAGGCTATCACTCCGTTTTGCAATGCCATGCCATACCCTGTGGATGACGCTTGATTGGAGCCAATTTCCTCCTACAACAGGACAATGACCCAAAGCACAGCTCCAAACTGCAATAACTATTTAGGGAAGAAGCAGTCAGCTGGTATTCTGTCTATAATGGAGTGGCCAGCACAGTCACCGGATCTCAACCTTATTGAGCTGTTGTGGGAGCAGCTTGACCGTATGGTACGTAAGAAGTGCCCATCAAGCCAATCCAACTTGTGGGAGGTGCTTCAGGAAGCATGGGGTGAAATCTCTTCAGATTACCTCAAGAAATTGACAACTAGAATGCCAAAGGTCTGCAAGGCTGTAATTGCTGCAAATGGAGGATTCTTTGATGAAAGCAAAGTTTGAAGGACACAATTATTATTTCAATTAAAAATCATTATTTCTAACCTTGTCAATGACTACATTTCCTATGCATTTTGCTATATTTCCTATTAAAACTAATTTCATGTATGTATTCATGGAAAACAAGGAAATTTCGAAGTGACCCCAAACTTTTGAATGGTAGTGTACATTCCATGCGACAGTCTCTGTTCATGCTAACAATTTTACGTTTAGAATGAACGTGTTTTTAGGAAGTATGTAGTTTGTTGATTAAGATGACATGGAAGTATGTTAAATGACCAACCAAGCATATCCAAGATGTTTTATAGAATGATAGAAAAAGAGAATAGACGTTGTCGGGTTATGTGTAAAGTAGTCCATTTAACATGGGCGTAACAGGACTACCCTACGGCTGTACCCCACTCCGGGGCGTGGTCACGTTAAGCCATGCCACGCCGTGTGTCTATTGTCCACGCCCGAACATAAAACAATTAGCCAGTGAGATGTCTCCTTTCTCGACCATCTCTGGGGAACCCCCTCCGCGTGGTGGGGGCAATAAGCAGACCAGTGCGGCCCCGCCCCGTAAAAATGAGGGAGTGGGATGTCATACTTCGGCCAGAGATGGTAGAGAAAGCAATCTTTTTGGGTGTTTTTAATCATTTAAATAATTGCATCGATGGCTTGCTGTAATGAGACGTATCTGTAGTAATTTCAATCAAAGCAAATACTAAACTGGATATTTGTCTGTGGTAACTAAGTGTGTTTCTGTGTAGCCTATATGATTGACAATACATTTTGGTTTTCATTTAAATAATGTTATTTCACCTTTGCTGTCCTAGGTTTGCGTCAACATCTCCTTTGAAACCAATTCCCCATCGCCCACCTGTGTCAGGGCCTGCGTCAGTAAAGAGGAATTTCTCAATGAAAGAAAAGGACGGCTTCTTCAAATTTAGGACTTCCAAGAAACCTGACAAGGAGACTATAGTAAGTATTGTTGATATTTTAGAAAAATGTCCCCTATTATGCCCCTGGTACGATTTGCTCACTTATCTACATAATTGACTGAGAAATTGTTGTTTCTCACAGGAAAATGTGGATCCATCAAAACAAGATATGGAAACTGAGCCTGTGATTGAAGTGGTCCAGCCCAGAGAACTAACAGAGGAAGATATTCAGGATGTTTGGAGAGGCATCACTCTCACACAGTAAGATCCACTCATAATTTATTTTAACGTTTTAATGAGTAGATCCTTAATCCATTGCCATTTTATTATTTCAGCCTTCAGAAAACATTGGGATTGACCGCACTTGAGGATGTTTTGGATCCAAGACACATCAATCCTCAAAACATTGTGTACAACATGACCAATGTGAACAAGCATGGGGTTGTTACACTTGAGGACAAGACGGGTATAGCCTATTCTTTCTCTGATTTATATCTGCACTGTGTGTACTGTACACAATGTAGACTACGTAAGAAGCATGGTCATTTATTTGCCTTTTCTCCACAGATGACCTCCCACACTGGGTTTTGTCTGCAATGAAATGTCTTGCAAACTGTAAGTAAGATTTTACTCAACCGTTTTAGTGGCATATTGTATTGAGAAATAGAAGATTTCACCTCACACAAAACAATACTCTCAATATGAGAGCTTTGTTTTCAGACCAACATCTAAAAAATGTCACCCATCCCGTTCTAGGGCCGAAGTATGATTCCAGCCAGCCATCCTATCCTGGGTTTGAGAGGGATGTGTTTAAAACAGTCTCTGACTACTTCTACAGCCTCCCTCAGCCACTTCTTACATTTGAGTACTATGAGTTGTTTGTCAACATCTTGGGTATGTATGCATTTTGCAAGATCTTAAATTGAATGCAGTATTGTTAGATGTGAAATGGTTTGACAGAAACTCAATTTCATGGGTTTCCCTGTTCCTCCCTAACCTAAAGTGTTACTAAAACCTGGATTCAATTAACCAATAATGTAATTCTTCCATCTTTTGCAACTAAGCTATCAATATTTGCAGTTATTTGTAATTTAAAGTAGAGGACAAATCTCAGGTGTGGTTATTGGATTCAGGCAAATGTTCTAAAAAGTTTACAATACTCATATTCATCCTTCTCTATGAAATGTATTTTATTTATTTTTTATAAGCTCTTTTGGATGAGATTTTGTTTGAGCCTTCTCCACTCTGCAACTGAACAATATGATTGACCAGATCCAATACAAGCAGCATGAAACTGCAACTGGTTTATGTGTTATTTCCCTCCTAACAGGATGTGACGCGACTGCTCTGTGGCTGTGACTTTTTGTTATAACTAACTCATGTGTGTCCAATTAGCTCTTCCCTTTCCCCACATTGTGCCCACTCCCTTGTTTATGTCCTGCCGGCTTCACAAGTGTTGTTTTTGTTTTGTCTCTTGCTAGTTTTATGTGGCTACATTGTGGCTCCTAAAACTCAGAGAGGAAAGCGAAAAAACCAAGAGGAGCCCAGCTACCCCCAGTCTGCAAAAAACCCTCACATGAATGGTGCTGTTAACCAGTTCAAATCAACGGAATGTCTGCTGTTGAGCTTAATTCGGAAAGAGGCTTTTGAAGAGGGCGACTCACCAATGAGAGAGGTGTTCAGCTCGAAGGCCCAGTCTACGTTTGCAGCTCTGAAGACTGGCTGTGCCAGGAGGGTCCCACAGATGGGTCTGCCAGGCCGAAGGGCCAGTTCTGGGGACGTCCTGGGAGGCAGCTCTCCAAGTCTTGCATGTTCAGAGAGCAGTGGAGCATCATCAGTTAGGCTCAGAAGACCCAGGAGTTGCTCCCTGGAGAGAATCCTGGATGAATCAGCGGAGTCTGACTCATGCTCCCAACACAAGTTGTTCCAGTCTACAGAGAGTCTGGCGTCCTGCAAAAGTAACAGTGGTAGCAAGTACATCACCCCACCTCAGAATAAAACAGACTCTCTGTCTATGTTAGACAGCTGCCCTTACTCTGAACCCCAAGTCTTTGTCACCATGGCAACTCCCAGTTGCGACACCAGTTCAGGTGTGACGTCTGTAGAGGGTAGCACTCACAGCTCCAAAAGCGAGGGTGCCAGAAGCAGCATCTCACTACCAATGGACAACCTCTCAGTCAGTCAGAAACCCATGCCTAAGCGCCGTAGGAGCATTGGTACCTGTTTGGATATAGCTGAGCACAGAGGGAAGTTTGCCAGCTGTTTCAGTATTAACGCCCCTGTAGCAGAGATCACCGTGAAGCCAGACTCCTCCTCAACTGTTGGCCTGAGGGGTCCCAGTCTGCTCAACCTGAGGGCCAGCAGCATCGACCTCCGAGACCTCAGAGCTAGGCCTTCTGTTAGCAGGCGCTGTCAGAGCTCTCTGGACCTGTCCAGGCCGACCCTTGCTCTGCCCTCTGTGTTCACTTATGCACGCCATCTGAGTTCCGAGCAAAGTAAGCCTACATCTGCATGCTTGTGTTGTGGTGTTTGTGCTTTTGCATGTCTTAAAACCTGACCTAACATTACTCATTGGGCTTGCACTAATATGGGGTGAGACTCTAATTCTCCTTTAAGAGAAGGTTATCACTGCATGAATTTCAATTGTAATCATCTGGATACTATCCAGAACTTCAAACAGCCCTGTTTTAAAGTGTTATGCCTAGATACTCCTCATGCCTATTTACAATTACATTTAATGATAACGTTACATTTAATAACTTGTACACATAGTTAATGCAGTTCTTGCTGTAGAGATATAACATTGATTTAACCTTCCAGGTGAAATCACACAGATGCTTAATCCGTTTCAATGCATTTCATTAGCCTCAGTGTGTGTGCATCGTTTTGATCTGATGCATATCAAGGGCTGAATACATGCCCTTCCAGTGTACAGTAGTGTGGTTGTGTATATGTGTGAAGGTCTCCTCCAGCCTCAGTTGGAGCGGGTGGCCATTGAGGCTCTGCAGCTCTGCACCCTGTTGCTGCCCCCTGCCAGCCGGAGGAAGCTCCAGCTGCTGATGAGAATGATCTCCCGGATGAGTCAGAATGTGGACATGCCTCGGCTCCATGACGTCATAGGAACACGCACCCTGGTGAGGGCTGAGAGAAACACAGGTTTCTGCATGGTGATCTGAACATATCCTCATAACTCCATTATTCAATCCCGTTGCGTTTCCAGATGGTGCATACGTTCTCTCGCTGCGTGCTGGGCTGTGAGGAGGAGATGGACCTGGATGAGCTGCTGGCCACCAGACTGGTCTCCTTCCTCATGGATCACCACCAGGAGATCCTCCAGGTGCCGGTCTATCTGCAGAACGCTGTCCAGGACCACGTGGCATACCTCAGGAAAGTACAGGTATAATACTGTCACTCCCTTTTCTTATAAGGCATCCATTACATACGGTAGTTGGTTACATCAGTTGTCATGAAATATAATTTTCATTGATTTAAAGGTAGACTCAACGAAATGACGTTGCCACGAGCAACACCGTAGATATTGCGACGAGCAAGATGCAAGACTTCACTCCCACACAGTCACACACAGTATCTGTGCATGTGCAAGGGGTTCCCTTCACACTGTTTTCAACGTGGTAGCTACGGGACCAAAACAGCGGAGAAATGTAGCCTTGCGCTTCGATGCTCTTAGTTGTGGAAATTGACCCACTATTCTGTTTACTTTGTGCATTTACGTCATATCGCTGAGTCTACCTTTAAAGAAAGTAGACCGTGACGTGTTGAAAGTGTGACTATCCTCTCCTCCTCTAGATAACCTACCCAGGTAGTGGTGGTGTGGGCGCCCCCATGCCCATCTACTACTTCTGCAGACAGATCAGCACCAAGGAGTTTGAGGAGCAGAAGCTGAGTGTGTCGCAGGCTGCCATCGCTGACCTGCTGGAGAGCCTGGTCAAAGACAAGAACATGTCTGTGAAGGACAAGAAGAAGAAGCTCAAGCAGGTAACAAGTTAGATGGCATGTTGTGTGAACACTCATCTAATTCTCTTAACTCACTACACAGTATGAAAATGTAATGTCTGCTAAATGACTAAAATGTACAAATGTAATCTCACTGCACATTTGTGTACTATTTAACCCCCCCTCCCCAGTTTCAGAGGCAGTATACAGACATTTACGCTCGCCGATTTCCAACGACTGAGAGCGAGGCGCAGCTTTTTGAAGATAAACCAAAGATCAAACCGCCAATGCTGATAAGTATGAAGAAACCAAAAGCTTTTGGAATTAGAAACTGAAGGTATAATTGGGATGCAACTGTTTGTATGTGGAATATTGTTTGTTCTTGCTTGAAACTAGACCTGGCAGCTAAATTAAGGAAGGTGGGAGGAAACTACAGTGGAGACCACCACAATTTAGACTGCAACTATGTAACATTTGTCTTTAGGGTTGGATTATGCATGTTTTATGTAAAGTAATGTGTTTTTGTGTATGTAATTTTTTAATACTGCAGTAGGTATCTTTAGTGCACCAAATAAATTATTCGGGATTGATGATGACCTCGTATGGGAGTATAATAAGTGAGCCTGAAGACGAACCTGTAAGCAAATGACAATTTGGGAGTCAATTCTGATAGATTTTGTATTAATCTGTTTATTTTGAAGTTGATCCAGATTTATACACTCCAATTGACATCAAAGTACAGTATTTAAACTTTCAAGCATTTGCTTTTTCTAGGGATTAATTTTGTTATTATTAAGCATGGTATTAGTCTACCTAGTTTTACTTCATAGGGTTATATGAAATGCTTATAATTTAACTTTGTCCATGTTTCACTCTGAAGTTTTTCTGTATTTTTATTCCATTAACATTCTCTTAAATAATGTTAATGTTGAGCTCCAACTACTTTATTGTAGATTTTTTTTTCTTCTATTTTCTTTATGTTCAGCCATTTGGGATAAACAAAGTTTTGCACTATTCTGTCATTTTACATGAACGGTATTTTAGACCAATCAATACAATGGTTAATATATACTTGACAAATATGTATTTTTACTGCCATCTATGAAGTATTAAACCTCCAAGGGAGACTTTTAGACTCATATAGATGCATTTTCTCAATACCTCTTTATGGCTGTATACCTAACCTCAAAGGAAGAGCCATCAATGACATATCCGTTTACCTTTTGACTTGTATAGTTATTTCATTGCAAAAAAATCTGTTTACTATGCAACGTTCTTGAAAATAAAGTGTCCAACTGTAAAACAATATCCTCTCTTTACGAATTGTGCAAATGTACTTGCCTTATTAGTGTTCTAGGATGGGGTTTATTTAATCATATTTGTTTACCTCATAGTGTCCTTGTACTGTCTGGCACCAGAAGGGAGAGAAAATGTTGCTACTCTAACACATAATGCCATGTATCATTGCACTACACCTGATGGATGGGGCAGAGAGATCTGCTGTTAGAATTCTAAGTGCATTTCAACCGAAGATGATGAATTGCATGTCCCTCTGAGTCTGACCTCAATTGACCGCTTCATTCCTCTAGATAAATGAATCGGGATAAAGAAAAGGAAGACCCCGATAATCATACATGTGCCCAACAAATAAACACCCTCAGTGTGGGTGCCTACACAGATTATAGATTTTTAAAAACTTGAGTGTAATTTTTTTGGAATTCATCAAATTAGTTCTAAATACTGTGGGAACATCTTTCTCTGACATGTAGAAAACAAACATTTGATACAAGCAAGAAAGATATTGCATAATGAAGTACATTACGTTCCTGTTTTTTTTCTCCCTTGATTTAGTTGTGTTTATGGGCTCAGGTTAGCGAATGTGGTTCTGGTCTTAATTAGGCAGAGAAATTCCTGAAGGAGGAGTATTGTGTTGTGGCGGTGGGCTAAATGTTAATGAAAATGAATGGTCTAGGCACAAAGGGATTCTTGTTTCAGAGACCTCTGATTGGTTTGGGGGGAGGTTCTCAAACTCCCGGCGCTCTGCCTGGGAATGGAACGGTGTCTATAAAGGCTGCTGTTCACTCCGCAGTTCAGACTGGTTTCCTGCACACAAGCTGTGTTTATTCTCTATAGGAAAATGGTTAGTCGGTGAGTAACTCCTTTTGTACATTTTCCTTAGCTTCGCATTACTTTTTCCCCCATACAAGAATATAGTGAGTTGGTGAGTAAACTACTTCGTTCCACTTTGCATAACTTTGACAGGAGTATGTAAGTCGAGTAACTGTCTCCTTGTGCAAACTTTGCAAAGCTTTTAGATCAAAGCATTTTTCTCACTACCTTTTTGCTGCATGTTAGTGTAAAGCAGTTTAACATATTTTTCTGGTCTCAGATTGTATTTTTTGTTTTGATGAACAAGTCAAACTTAATTTAGGCAAGAATAATGAGGTATGTAATTGTGTTTTTAAGTCGGGGCTGAAAAGATTTGTTAGATCAGAAGCCTATGATTTCATGTGAATAGATGTTTCTATTTGATGGAGTAACTTTGTTTGATTTTCAGAATTGAGCATCCGGCTGGTGGCTACAAGAAAATCTTTGAGACATGTGAAGAGTTGAACGAGCCTATTCCTGCTGTGGTTGTAGGTATGTGAGGAACGGGTCTGTTAGACTCCACTACCCTTTGGTTTACAAGCGAGGAGATTTGGGGTTTTATGATGGTTAAGAGCGGAGTGAGCACAACATGGTAACATGGGTCATTTCATGCTGTTTTCAGGTGTGATCCCAGAATGGCTGAGCGGCAGTCTGTTGCGCCTGGGACCCGGCCTGTTCGAGGTGGGGGCTGAGCCTTTCTACCATCTCTTTGATGGCCAGGCCCTCATGCACAAGTTTGACCTAAAGAACGGCCATGTGACCTACTATCGGAAGTAAGCCCCTCTGTGTGTTGATGTTGACTTCACTGATGTGTAACACGTTTACAACCGTGAGGTAGTAAAATATATATTTCATGAGGGCATACAATAATTTTACACTTCACACTAGTAGTAGTTGTGCAGTTTTGTGAAACGTTCCCCTCAGCCCATAAATTTGACTGGAATGTTTTGAGGAACCTCAGTGAGGACTGTTTCTCATTAAAACAGTGAATACCAAAACACAGTGACCTGCTGCTCTCAAAAGCTTCGGAAAGAGCTGAAACAGAAGTGGGCCTATCAATTCCCAATCTGTATGTTCCAAGCTACATGTTTAAAGGATATTGGTTGTAATTGGTTTTAACTACTGTTTCTCTGAAGATTTGTCAAAACAGATGCCTATGTGCGAGCCATGACAGAGAAAAGAGTGGTCATCACTGAGTTTGGAACAGCAGCCTACCCAGACCCTTGCAAAAATATATTCTCAAGGTGATTTGTTATCATTTTATGATAATCAAGTTAAAAAACACTCCTCATGGGTCATGACTTAGTTATTAGACGCAACATACAAATTGTCCATTATTGTCTTTGTAGGTTTTTCACCTATTTCAAAGGGATTGAGGTGACAGATAATTGCTTAGTGAACGTGTACCCTGTTGGTGAGGATTTCTATGCCTGCACAGAAACCAACTACATCACCAAAGTGGACCCAGACACACTGGAGACTCTGAAAAGGGTATGTGCTGCTCCCACTGGCTGACATCAGATCGATTGAACATAAGAACTATCGTCTCACATAAACTCTTTCTCCAGGTGGACCTGTGTGACTACCTCTCGGTCAATGGGGTGACAGCTCATCCACACATTGAAAGTGACGGAACGGTGTACAACATTGGGAACTGTTTTGGGAAGAACATGTCACTGGCCTACAACATTGTCAAAATTCCTCCCACACCGAAAGGTTTGTTCTGTGTACAGCATTGAAATTATTTTCTGGAAGTGAAATTTCCCTAAATCAAATGGCTGTCTGATTTGTAATTCTTGTTTTCAGACAAGTCAGATCCCATTGCAAAGTCCAAGGTTCTTGTGCAGCTCCCCAGCAGTGAGAGATTCAAGCCCTCTTATATTCACAGGTTAGTGACATTTCTGATTGTCAGGGCCCAGTTTTCAAAAGTTATCTGGATTTCGCCTACCGGATAGGATTAAATACATTGAAAAGGAATGAATAGAACAGACAAATCATTGACTTGAATGGGGACTCCGCGTTCTATTCATTCTATTTCTATGCATTTAATCCTATCCGACACAACGAAATCCAGATAACTTTTGAAAAACTGGGCCCCTGGAGTTCACATTCTTGCTTGTAACATTCTTTCACATTAAATGTATTTCAATAATTTTTCTGCGGCCTCCATCAGCTTTGGAATGACAGAAAACTACTTTGTCTTCGTTGAGACTCCAGTGAAGATAAACCTTCTAAAATTCTTGACCGCTTGGAGCATCTGGGGCACAAATTACATGGATTGCTTTGAGTCAAACGAAACCATGGGCGTAAGTAAAGGAACACCTAGACCACTATTATCAAACTGTATACAAGGCCTGTTAGCATTTCAATGTGGATTATTGATATATTGATACTAAATTAATCTCTAATGTCTTCATCACTAGCTAACGGTATACTTTTTCATCTAGACATGGTTCCATCTGGCTACAAAGGACCCAGCTGAATACATAGAGCATAAATTCCGGACTTCTGCCTTCAATCTCTTCCATCACATCAACAGCTATGAGGACGATGGCTTCATAGTTGTTGACCTTTGTACTTGGAAAGGGTGAATACTGACCGGTTGTTGTAATGACTTGAGAATAACATATGTACAAGACACTTATCCAGTCCCTCTTTCTCTTGTTCGGCTTTAGTCATGAGTTTGTCTACAACTACCTATATCTGGCCAACCTGAGGGAGAACTGGGAGGAAGTGAAGAAAGCTGCTATGAGGGCACCTCAGCCAGAGGTCCGGCGATACGTTCTGCCCATGGACGTCCACAAGGTAAGCGTTGTGCCCTTAATCTTGTCATTTCTGGAGTAGGGAGTTATCACTGCTTTGATGTTATCCTCTCAGGATAGAGGACTATATCACTGAAGTCTTTCCTATTACTTGAACTTGCAGGAGGAACAGGGGAAGAATCTGATATCCCTTCCGTACACCACAGCCACTGCAGTGATGCGCAGCGATGGAACCATCTGGCTAGAGCCTGAGGTTCTGTTTTCTGGACCACGACAAGGTAACCCACACACAGCTTGTTTCATTAAACCTTAAGAGCTCACCTATTCTTATAGCATCTAATGCCACTAAATATCTGTTCATCTGTCATATCATCAGTCATAAGATTTTCCTCATTCGATTGAATCAGTCATTTGAATTCCTTTATTATTGCAGCTTTCGAGTTCCCTCAGATAAACTACAGTAAGTTCTCTGGGAAGAACTACAGCTATGCCTATGGACTGGGCCTGAACCACTTCATCCCTGACAGGGTGAGTATAGCACGCAGACGGGAACGCTGGTGGTACATTACCCAAGTCTGATGATTAGGTTTATGATTAGACTAACCTGCTAGTACAGTCATTCAGGGAGTGAGTTTTTGATTGTGTCCTGCTCTAGATCTGCAAACTGAACGTGAAGACCAAGGACACGTGGGTGTGGCAGGAGCCAGACTCTTACCCCTCAGAGCCCATTTTTGTGCAGACCCCAGACTCTGTGGAGGAAGATGACGGTAAACAGGGGGATTTTAGGGGATTCTATAATAACATGACAGACAGGTGGCACAATCTGTGGTCTTTAACATTAACTGATCAGATAGCATGACTTACCTAAGCAGGATCCACCTTAGTGTGATGTAAAATGCTGACATACCAATAGTATACAACTTGAGGTGTGATACGAGTGTAGGTAGGAGGATTCTCTTGCACACTCCTGTTTTTGTGGTTGTGACACTGCTCTTTTCCCGTTTCCTAGGGGTGTTGTTGAGCATCGTGGTGAACCCTGGAGCAGACCAGAGGCCAGGGTACCTCCTCATCCTCAATGCCAGAGACCTGACAGAGATCGCACGGGCTGAGGTGGAGGTCATTATCCCTGTCACCTTCCATGGAATGTATAAGCCTTAGGACTACTTTCTCAACACATCTACAATACCACTCCACAGGACAAAGGGACAATCATAATACTAAAACCTTTGTTGGGAATATACTTTAAGACATCTAGTTATATAATTTGTGTATCTTTATTTGTCGAGGCAACACTGGTGTTGCCTATGGAATGTGTATGTACTTATTATGTGATCATGTAGCCCAGTGGTATTCAAGCTTTTTCAGCGGGGACCCCATTCTTTCTGCCAGAATTTCGCACAACCCCATCCCAAATCTAATGACACAACCTTAAAATTTAGAATTTTACATCAACAAATAACTTTCAATTCATTAAATTTTCATCTCTTATCAAAATGAAAAGAAACCAATAAATGTACTCAAATATTTATTCTTTTAATGATCTTTCTCAAAGACATTTGTATATTGACCAATACAATAATCTGTACTTGTATTTTTTATTTATTTTTATACCACTGATGTAGCCTGTTCATGGCTTAGTTTCAAAGTCCACATTGTGATATACATTACACAAAAGTATGTGGACACCACTTCAAATGAGTGGATTCAGCTATTTCAGCCACACCCGTTGCTGACAGATGTATAAAATCGAGCACACAGCCATGCAATCTCCATAGACAAACATTGGCAGTAGAATGACCTTACTGAAGAAGTCAGTGACTTTCAACGTGGCACCATCATAGGATGCCACCTTTCCAACAAGTCAGTTAGTCAAATTTCTGCCCTGCTAGAGCTGACCTGGTCAACTGCAAGTGCTGTTATTGTGAAGTGGAAACGTCTAGGAGTAACAACGGCTCAGTCGCGAAGCGGAAGGCCACACATGCTCACAGAACGGGACTGCCAAGTGCTGAAGCGCGTAAAAATCGTCTGTCCTCTGTTGCAACATTCACTACGAGTTCCAAATGCCTCTGTAAGCAACGTCAGCACAAGAACTGCGTTCTCTGGAGTGATGAATCACGCTTCACCATCTGGCAGTCTGACGGACGAATCTGGGTTTGGAGGATGCCAGGAGAAAGCTACCTGCCCCAATGCATAGTGCCAACTGTAAAGTTTGGTGGAGGAGAAATAATGGTCTTTGCTAGTTCCCTTTTGTTACAGTGAAGGGAAATCTTAACGCTACAGCATAAAATGACATTCTAGACAATTCTGTGCTTCCAACTTTGTGGTAACAGTTTGGGAAAGGCCCTTTCCTATTTCAGCATGACAATACCCCTGAGCACAAAGCGAGGTCCATACAGAAATTGTTTGTCAAGATCAGTGTGGAAGAACTTGACTGGCCAGCACAGAGCCCTGACCTCAATCCCATCAAAGACCTTTGGGATGAATTGGACCGCCGACTGCGAGCCAGGCCTCGCCCAACATCAGTGCCCAACCTCACTAATGCTCTTGTGGCTGAATGGAAGCAAGTCCCCGCAGCAATGTTCCAACATCTAGTGGAAAGCCTTCCCAGAAGAGTGGAGGCTGTTATAGCAGCAAAGTGGTGACCAACTCATGATTTTGGAATGAGATGTTTGACAAGCAGGTGTCCACATACTCTTGGTCATGTAGTGTATCTGTCTTAACCTTGACCCTCAAACTCTGACCTAAAGGCCTAGTGCTCATTAGCTTTGATGGAACCATGTACAGTGCCTTCAGAAAGTATTCACACCCCTTGACCTTTTCTACATTTTGTTGTTGCAGCCTGAATTTAAAATGGATTAAATTGAGATTTTGTGTCACTGGCCTACATACCCCATAATGTCAAAGTGGAATTATGTTATTTGAAATGTTTACAAATTAATAAAAAATGAAAAGCTGAAATGTCTTCACTAAATAAGTATTCAACCCCTTTGTTATGGCAAGCCTAAATATGTCACAAGTTGCATGGACTCATCCTGTGTGCAATAAGTGTTGAACATGATTTTTGAATGACTACCTCATCTCTGTATCCCACACATACAATTATTTGCAAGGTCCCTCAGTCGAGCATCTATTGGTAGATGGGTAAAACAAAAAAGCAGACATTCAATATCCTTTTGAGCATGGTGAAGTTATTAATTATACTTTGGATGGTGTATCAATATACCCAGTCATACAAAGATACAGGCATCCTTCCTAACTCCGTTGCCGTAGAGGAAGGAAACTGCTCGGGGATTTCACCATGAGTCCAATGGCAACTTTAAAACAGAGTTTAATGGCTGTGATGGGAGAAAACTTATGGATCAACAACATTGTAGTTACTCCACAACACTAACCTAAATGACAGAGTGAAAAGAAGGAATCCTGTGCGCAATAAGGCACTAAAGTAAAGAATGTGGCTAAGAAATTAACTTTTATGCCCTGAATACAAAGTGTTATGTTTGGGGCAAATCCAACATCACAGAGTACCACTCCATATTTTCAAGCATGGTGTTGGCTGCATCACGTTATGGGTATGCTTGTCATCGGCAAGGACTAGGGAGTTTTTTTTAGGATAAAAATAAATGGAATACGGCTAAGCACAGGCAAAATCCTAGAGGAAAGCCTGGTTCAGTCTCCAACAGACACTGGGAGACAAATTCACCTTTCAGCAGGACAATAACCTAAAACACAAGGCCAAATAAACACTGGAGTTGCTTACAAAGACGACATTGAATGTTCCTGAGTGACCTAATTACAGTTTGGACTTAAATCACCTTAAATATATGGCAAGACTAGAAAATGGCTGTCTAGCATTGATTAACAACCAACTTGACAGAGCTCGAATAATATTTAAAATAATGTGCAAATATTGTACAATCTAGGGGTGCAAAGCTTTTAAGAGACTTATTCTAACAATTATTGGCTCAGAGGTGTGAATACTTATGTAGATGAGATATTTCTGTTTCATTTTAAATACATTTACAAAAATTTCTAAAAACATGTTTTCCTTTTGTCATTATGGTGTATTGTGTGTAGATGGGTGAGGAAAAAAAATATTTAATACATTTTGAATTCAGGCTGTAACACAAAATGTGTAAATAAGTCAAGGGGTATGAATACTTTCTGAAGGCACTGTATATAAGAATTAAAGACACACAAGACACATTTTAGTATTCTATGGTACATGTTTCAAGTTGTATTTACACATTCTGCTACTTTTCTGCAAATAAAAATCAAAATTGCATTGATAATGTTATTACATTACAAATCTCAAATGTTTTTTTTTCTGCTGTGATCAGCACTTCATTGTTATGGTGCCTCTATAAAGGCATTTTGTCAGAAGAGATTTAACAGATCTTTTTCTGAGAAAGGCAATTGTAACTGAGGCAGTTTTACATTCTGAGTAATGGAGTCCTTAGTTTCTCTTTGGAGAGTTGGTATTCCTGTTGTTTGATGATTTTCAGACAATCACCCAAAACCTAATGAGAAAGAAACATGTAATGGGCATGTGCAAACTGATTAAGATTTTCACAGATAAAGAACTTGCAACACTTTCTGTATTTTTTTCATTAATAACCTACCAAGTAGCATTCAATAACCCTACTTCTTTCAAATGGCAGAGATTCTCAAGAATAACGACTTGTGATGGCCAGAGCCAACTTAACTATGCCATTACGTAAGTGTTTTGTTTTTTCCACATTTCCATGGTACAGTGAGGGAAAAAAGTATTTGATCCCCTGCTGATTTTGTACGTTTGCCCACTGACAAAGACATGATCAGTCTATCATTTTAATGGTAGGTTTATTTGAACAGTGAGAGACAGAATAACAACAACAAAAATCCAGAAAAATGCATGTCAAAAATGTTTTGCATTTTAATGAGGGAAATAAGTATTTCACCCCTCTGCAAAACATGACTTAGTACTTGGTGGCAAAACCCGTGTTGGCAATCACAGAGGTCAGACGTTTCTTGTAGTTGGCCACCAGGTTTGCACACATCTCAGGAGGGATTTTGTCCTACTCCTCTTTGCAGATCTTCTCCAAGTCATTAAGGTTTTGAGGCTGATGTTTGGCAACTCGAACCTTCAGCTCCCTCCACATATTTTTTATGGGATTAAGTTCTGGAGACTGGCTATGCCACTCCAGGACCTTAATGTGCTTCTTTTTGAGCCACTCCTTTGTTGCCTTGGCCGTGTGTTTTGGGTCATTGTCATGCTGGAATACCCATCCACGCCCCATTTTCAATGCCCTGGCTGAGGGAAGGAGGTTCTCACCCAAGATTAGACGGTACATGGCCCCGTCCATAGTCTCTTTGATGCGGTGAAGTTGTCCTGTCCCCTTAGCAGAAAAACACCCCCAAAACATAATGTTTCCACCTCCATGTTTGACGGTGGGGATGGTGTTCTTGGGGTCATAGGCAGCATTCCTCCTCCTCCAAACACGGCGAGTTGAGTTGATGGCAAAGAGCTCGATTTTGGTCTCATCTGACCACAACACTTTCACCCAGTTCTCCTCTGAATCATTCAGATGTTCATTGGCAAACTTCAGACGGGCATGTATATGTGCTTTCTTGTGCAGGGGGACCTTGCGGGCGCTGCAGGCTTTCAGTCCTTCACGGCGTAGTGTGTTACCAATTGTTTTCTTGGTGACTATGGTCCCAGCTGCCTTGAGATCATTGACAAGATCCTCCAGTGTAGTTCTGGGCTGATTCCTCACCGTTCTCATGATCATTGCATCTCCACAAGGTGAGATCTTGCATGGAGCCCCAGGCCAAGGGAGATTGACAGTTATTTTGTGTTTCTTCCATTTGCGAATAATCACACCACCTGTTGTCACCTTCTCACCAAGCTGCTTGGCGATGGTCTTGTAGCCCATTCCAGCCTTGTGTAGGTCTACAATCTTGTCCCTGACATCCTTGGAGAGCTTTTTGGTCTTGGCCATGGTGGAGAGTTTGGAATCTGATTGATTGATTGCTTCTGTGGACAGGTGTCTTTTATACAGGTAACAAACTGAGATTAGGAGCACTCCCTTTAAGAGTCTGCTCCTAATCTCAGCTCGTTACCTGTATAAAAGACACCTGGGAGCCAGAAATCTTTCTGATTGAGAGGGGGTCAAATACTTATTTCCCTCATTAAAATGCAAATCAATTTATAACATTTTTGACATGAGTTTTTCTGGATTTTGTTGTTGTTATTCTGTCTCTCACTGTTCAAATAAACCTACCATTAAAATTATAGACTGATCATGTCTTTGTCAGTGGGCAAACGTACAAAATCAGCAAGGGATCAAATACTTTTTTCCCTCACTGTAAACCTCAAAATCTGCTTCCAGTCAGTGAGGACCAGCCTGGACTGTGGCAGTTGTGATTCTACAGAGAGATTTAAATCAGTCCTGGTCCTGTGTGGCTTACAGTGGCTTGTGAAAGTATTCACCCTCCTTGGCATTTTTCCTATTTTGTTGCCTTACAACCTGGAATTAAAATGGATTTTTCTGGCGGTTTGTATCATTTAATTTACACAACATGCCTACCACTTTGAAGATGCAAAATATTTTTGGGGTGAAACAAACAAGAAATAAGACAAAAAAACAGAAAACTTGAGCGTGCATAACTATTCACCCCACCCAAAGTCAATACTTTGTAGAGCCACATTTTGCAGCAATTACAGCTGCAAGTCTCTTGGGGTATGTCTCTATAAGCTTGGCACATCTAGCCACTGGGATTTTTGCCCATTCTTCAAGGCAAAACTGCTCCAGCTCCTTCAAATTGGATGGGCTCCGCTGGTGTACCGCAATCTTTAAGTCATACCACAGATTCTCAATTGGATTGAGGTCTGGGCTTTGACTAGGCCATTCCAAGACATTTAAATGTTTCCAATTAAACCACTTGAGTGTTGCTTTAGCAGTATGCTTAGGGTCATTGTCCTGCTGGAAGGTGAACCTCCGTCTCAGTCTCAAATCTCTGGAAGACTGAAACAGGTTTCCCTCAAGAATTTCCCTCTATTTAGCGCCATCCATCATTCCTTCAATTCTGACCAGTTTCCCAGTCCCTGCCGATGAAAAGGGATGGTGTTCTCGGGGTGATAAGAGGTGTTGGGTTTGCACCAGACACAGCATTTTCCTTGATGGCCAAAAAGCTCAATTTTAGTCTCATCTGACCAGAGTACCTTCTTTCATATGTTTGGGGAGTCTCCCACATGCCTTTTGGCGTACACCAAACGTGTTTGCTTATTTTTTTCTTTAAGCAATGGCTTTTTTCTGGCGTCTCTTCTGTAAAGCCCAGTTCTGTGGAGTGTTCGGCTTAAAGTGGTCTTATGGACAGATACTCCAATCTCCGCTGTGGAGCTTTGCAGCTCCTTCAGGGTTACCTTTGGTCTCTTTGTTGCCTCTCTAATTAATGCCCTCCTTGCCTGGTCCGTGAGTTTTGGTGGGCGGCCCTCTCTTGGCAGGTTTGTTGTGGTGCCATATTCTTTCAATTGTTTAATCATGGATTTAATGGTACTCCGTGGGATGTTCAAAGTTTTTGATATTTTTTTATTACCCAACCCTGATCTGTACTTCTCCACAACTTTGTTCCTGACCTGTTTGGAGAGCTCCTTGGTCTTCATGGTGCTGCTTGCTTGGTGGTGCCCCTTGCTTAGTGGTGTTGAAGACTCTGGGCCTTTCAGAACAGGTGTATATATACTGAGATCATGTGACACTTAGCTTGCACACAGGTGGACTTTATTTAACTAATTATGTGACTTCTGAAGCAAATACATATGCACGCACCACTTTTCCGTTATTTATTTTTTAGAATTTTGTGAAACAAGTTATTTTTGTAATACCTTTTCTGTAATACCAACATGTTTCAAGCAGACCACCATAGTCCCCGTGCCCAAGGACACTAAGATAACCTGCTTAAATGACTACCGACCCGTAGCACTGACGTCTGTAGCCATGAAGTGCTTTGAAAGGCTGGTCATGGCTCACATCAACACCATTATCCCAGAAACCCTAGACCCACTCCAATTTGCATACCGCCCCAACAGATCCACAGATGATGCAATCTCTATTGCACTCCACATTGCCCTTTCCCACCTGGACATGAGGAACACCTACGTGAGAATGCTATTCATTGACTACAGCTCAGCATTCATTTACATTTACATTTACGTCATTTAGCAGACGCTCTTATCCAGAGCGACTTACAAATAGGTGCATTCACCCTATAGCCAGTGGGATAACCACTTTACAATGTTTTGTTTTTTTTGGAGTAAGGGGGGGGGGGGATAGAAGGATTACTTTATCCTATCCCAGGTATTCCTTAAAGAGGTGGGGTTTTAAATGTCTCCGGAAGGTGGTGAGTGACTCCGCTGTCCTTCAACACCATAGTGCCCTCAAAGCTCATCACTAAGCTAAGGATCCTGGGACTAAACACCTCCCTCTGCAACTGGATCCTGGACTTCCTGAGGAGCCGCCCCCAGGTGGTAAGGGTAGGTAACAACACATCTGCCACACTGATCCTCAACACGGGGGCCCCTCAGGGGTGCGTGCTCAGTCCCCTCCTGTACTCCCTGTTCACCCATGACTGCATGGCCAGGCACGACTCCAACACCATCATTAAGTTTGCCGACGACACAACAGTGGTAGGCCTGATCACCGACAACGATGAGACAGCCTATAGGGAGGAGGTCAGAGACCTGGCCGTGTGGTGCCAGGATAACAACCTCTCCCTCAACGTGACCAAGACAAAGAGATGATTGTGGACTACAGGAAGAAAAAAAAGAGGACTGAGCCCGCCCCCATTCTCATCGACGGGGCTGTAGTGGAACAGGTTGAGAGCTTCAAGTTCCTTGGTGTCCACATCACCAACGAACTATCATGGTCCTCAAAACATTCTACAGCTGCACCATCGAGAGCATCCTGACTGGTTACATCACCGCCTGGTATGGCAACTGCTCGGCCTCCGACCGCAAGGCACTACAGAGGGTTGTGCGTACGGCCCAGTAAATCACGGGACCAAGCTTCCTGCCATCCAGGACCTCTATACCAGGGGGTGTCAGAGGAAGGCCCTCAAAATCGTCAAAGACTCTAGCCACCCTAGTCATAGACTGTTCTCTCTGCTACCGCACGGCAAGCGGTACCGGAGTGCCAAGTCTAGGTCCAAAAGACTTCTCAACAGCTTCTACCCCCAAGCCATAAGACTCCTGAACAGCTAATCATGGCTACCCTGACTATTTGCACTGCCCCCCCCACCCCCACCCCGTCTTTTTACGCTGCTGCTACTCTGTTAATTATTTATGCATAGTCACTTTAACTCTACCCACATGTACATATTACCTCAACTATCTCAACTAGCCGGTGCCCCTGCACATTGACTCTGCACCGGTACCCCCCTGTATATATAGCCTCCCTACTGTTATTTTATTTTACTTCTGCTCTTTTTTTTCTCAACACTTTTTTGTTGTTGTTTTATTTTACTTTTTTATAAAAAAATAAATGCATTGTTGGTTAAGGGCTGTAAGTAAGCATTTCACTGTAATGTCTACACTTGTTGTATTCGGCGCATGTGGCCAATAAAAATTGATTTGATTTGATTTTTCATTTCACTTCACCAATTTGGACTATTTTGTGTATGTCCATTACATGAAATCCAAATAAAAATCAAATTTAAATTACAGGTTGTAATGCAACAAAATAGGAAAAACGCCAAGGGGGCTGAATACTTTTGCAAGGCACTGTAGTTGGTAGAGCATGGCGCTTGCAACGCCAAGGATAGTGGATTCGTTTCCCGCTGGGGCCACCCATGACTAAGTCGCTTTGGATAAAAGCGTCTGCTAAATGCCATACATTTGTATTATTATTATTATTATTATTATTATTATTATTTACCTTCCTAGTGTCCTGGGGAAGAATTACTCCATCATCCCAAAGTCTGCCAGACGAGAAGAATGCAGAGCTCTCATTCTCCAACCTAGAAGGATAAACACCCCTGTTAAAATCCACTGAGACATTTAACCAAACAAATCAAACATGAATCATATTCCTGTGCGAAAGACAGTACTATGCAGTGGAAGCTCCTCAGAGAAGAAACGGGAGGACAATCCTCCTCAGTGAATTTCAGAAAAATTAAAATAATGAAATTTTTGAAAAAGTATTGTTTTTAGATATACTAAATAAATTATATACTAAATAAATTCACGGCACCAAATAATTAATTGAAACACACTGTTTTGCAAATAAGTTCTACAGTAGCCTCAATAGCACTCTGTAGGGTAGCACCATGGTTTAGCTGGAGGACAGCTAGTTTCCGTCATCCTGTGGGTACATTGACTTCAATACAAAACCTAGGAGGCTCGTAGTTCTCACCTCCTTCCATAGACTTACACAGTAATTATGACAACTTCCGGAGGATGTCTTCCAACCTATCAGAGCTCTTGCAGCATGAACTGACATGTTGTTCACCCAATCAAAGAATCAGAGAATGAATCTAGTATTTAAGGCATTAGCTACAGCTAGCTAGCACTGCAGTGCATAAAATGTGGTGAGTAGTTGACTCAGAGAGAAATACAATAGTTGAACAGTTTTGAACAAATTAATTTCTTCAAAAATGAAGGAGGAGCAAGAGAGAGCGCTAGCTATATTTAGTATTTTTTCCACTTTCATTTTCACTTACTTAGCTAGCAAATGTAGCTAGCTAGTTTAGCCTACTCAAACACCCTGCTCAAACAGAGAGGGATGCTATGTTAGCTAGCTGGCTATGGCTATCCAACAATGGAACTCTTCCAAGTCAAGGTAAGCTTTTGGTTTTATTAAATGTATTGCCACCGGGGCCTGCCGGTGCAACTGCTAAATTTGCTGACTGTACACTGTACTGCATGATTGTTGCAAGTTTACTAACGCTTTAGTTCTAGTAGCTATGTTGACTATGACGTTATAATATGGTGACAAAGGTGTAGGCTGTGTGTAGCGGTTATGATATGAAGGTTTGGCTTGGAAAGGTTTTTTCGCCTGGTCACAGACAGCTGATGTGTTGTGCACTTAAGTCCACAAGCGAAGGGAAAAGGTGAGAGGAGGAGAGTGTGTAGATGCGGGAAGGAATACTACACTGATCAAAGGGATCATGCTGCATGTATGTGGCTGCTATGAAAGTGAACTGTGTTTGCGTGTGATCAGGGATGTATTCATTCCGCCAATTCTGCCACTAATACTATGGGTGACTTACCTTTTATTGATCTTCTCAACGTCCTCCTCCTCTTGTGCCAGAGCTGCAGAGTGACCAGGGGCCACCAGGGACACTCTGGCATTGGGCCATAGGAATAGGAAGTTTGGGTCAAATGACCTGCCACACTAGATAAAGAAAACAACACAGAAAAGAGAGAGACCAGTTTAGTTAGTATTTTCAATATACACTCAGTGGCCAGTTTTGTTAGGTACACACATCTAGTACCAGGTTGGACCCCCCTTTGCCTCCAGAACAGCCTGAATTCTTCAGGCATGGTTACGTTGCTCAAGTGGTATCAAGGGACCTACCGTGTGCCAGGAAAACATTCCCCACACCATTACACCACCGCCACCAGCCTGTACTGTTGACACCAGGCAGGATGGGGCCATGGACCCATGCCGCTTACGCCAAATCCTGACTGCCATCAGTATGACGTAACAGGAACCAGGATCCGTCGGCCCAGGCTATGTTTTTCCACTCCTCAATTGTCCAGTGTTGGTGATCGTGTGCCAACTGGAGCCACTTCTTCTTGTTTTTAGTTGATACGAGTGGAACACGGTGTGGTCGTCTGCTGCAATAACCCATCCGTGACAAGTACCAACGAGTTGTGCGTTCCAAGATGCCATTCTGCACACCACTGTTGTACTGTGCTATTATTTGCCTGTTTGTGGCCCGCCTGTTAGCTTGCACGATTCTTTCCATTCTCCTTCGTCCTCTCATCAACGAGCTCCAGGACTGCCACTGATATTTTTTTTGTCACGCCATTCTCCGTAAACCACTGTCGTGTGTGAAAAGCCCAGGAGGCCGGCCGTTTCTGAAATACTGGAACCGGCACTGGCACGCCTGGCACCAGCGATCATACCACACTCAAAGTCGCTTAGGTCACTCGTTTTGCCCATTCTAACATTCAATCGAACAGTAGCTGAATGCCTCGATGCCCATCTGCCTGCTTTATATAGCAAGCCACGTGACTCACTGTCTGTAGGAGCAAAACATTTTTGTGAACGGGGTGGTGTACCTAATAAACTGTGTATAAGGGAATTGATGTGTAAGCACTGGGCTAATTTTCATATAGTGACCACTGCTGGCACTATTGTACAAACCATAGCATAACTTTCAGCGCCATGGCATCCCCCAATGACGATGGTGATTTTTGGAACAGAGGCACATGCCACAGCAGACATCATGGAACCCTGAGCCTTCAGTCTGTTGGTGTTGGTCTCTGCCTACAGTAGAGAGAGGATACACACACACACACACACACACACACACACACACACAGTTAACAGATTGTTCCATGAGTAACACCAGCGGAAACTTGTTAACACACTGACATGAAATTCCACATCCATGTTCAAGAACAGAGCATAACAACATTCTGATGACATGGCTGTATTGATTTTGAGACCTGATTTTAATCATAGTTCTATTTAACAGAGCTGACTGAGTTCCACAGGAGTGTCCGTTTACAAAATAATGTTGAGAGGCCTCTCCGTGCTCCTCCTCACCAGTCTTTGTGCTTCATAACAAAGTGTGGTTTTATTCTGTGGTGAGTGCTCAGGGTTGGCTGCAGTGCCATACCTGGGTTTGGGAGAGGGTTAGCTCTGGCATTGGGACAGTGTTCTGCAAGAATATCAGGGGGATGTCTCGCTGGTCACACAGCTGGACAAAGTGGCTGCCTTTTAATGATGCATTGTGCGTTAGCGCCCCATTGCTCGCCACAATGCCAACCTGATGCCTGAAGAAAAAAATATATACTGCAAGTTAGGCATTAAACTTGAATAAAACATATTGCCTTCATACAATTTGCATAACTGCTGTATTTTAGTACTTTTAGTGGAGTTTAAGAATATAAAACTAAATAAACTTTTCATCAAGATTTATAAGGGTTTTCATCAAGTAATTTCTTGATGAATTGTTTGAGCACCATACCCTGATTAAAATCACAATACCCTCTGGATCTAGAACGCAGGTTGACGTTTACTGCCATGGCTATATTGTAAACGTTTCTTTTTTTTTGGTGCTTAATTTAAGGTTAGGCATTAGGGTTAGCAGTGTGGTTAGGTTTAACATCAGATTTTATGACTGTGGCTGTGCCAGCTAGTGACCACTCTGCAGCTCTGCCTCCAGAACACGATTCATGACGAAAAACGCTAACCTGCATCTAGAACATTCTGCTGCCATGACAACGAGTTGCTCTCAGAGAAGCTCTTTGTAAAAGCAGATGAAAGCTGGCTGAAGAGACTTGTTTCCCTTGTGTTCGCCATTCTCACTCAAAAAGATTCCCCATCTTAATATGACTCTTGTTGGGGTAGGGAAAGATTTGATTGGTTGGAATGCAGAAGCACACTAATCTGATTTGCAAGTTAACAGGGTTAACCGTTAATCTCCTGACGCTCTTTTGTTAAACATTCTGCTTCAAAAATGTGTCAGTTAATTAATGTTATATGAACATAGAGGTTTTAAGAGGTTCCAATATACAGCTACTTTCTGAAGCAATAAAAGACTCCATTAAAATGTATGCATAATGAAGGGAGTTGTAAAAGTCTGACCTTTAAGAAAAAGTCTAGAAGGCATCTTAATCTACTAAACCATTGAAGGAGGATGGGTAAATACTTCAAAACTAAAGACTGTGTGTCAATCAACAGTTCTTACCCGCTAATTCTGGCAAAACCAGTCACAAGGGTTGTTCCATATCGAGCCTTGAATTCCTGGAACTTACTGCCATCAGTCAGCCGACTCAGGATCTGAACAGAAAAAATATACAAAATAATTGTTATTCTAAAACATCCCCATGAGATGTGACTGTTGGTTTAAGTGTGGGTGTGTTGAGCTGACCAGCTTGACATCCAGACTGTGGTCATAGTCCTGTGGGGCCAGACCCATCAACTCCTCCACACTGTGTCGAGGCTCCTCCACCCCTTCCCCGTCTTCCTCGGGCAGCTCAAAATTGAGGGTGGAGATCATGTTACGTGTGGTTTCATAGGCTTCCTTCTCCACAGAGGCAAAGTGGTCCACACAGCCGCTCACTCTGAAGCGGGGGGGAGTAAGTTTGAGCCTATTAGTGCAGATATAGTAGTATAGTGGATCTCACAGAGAACTTGAGAGAGTTTGTATGCTTTCCATTCACTCACTCACTCTGCATGGAGTGTGGCCCCACCCAGATTCTCTGGGGAGACTTCTTCCCCTGTGGCAGCTTTCACCAAGGGCGGTCCGCCCAGGAATATCGTCCCGATCCGGTGCACCATCACCGTCTCTTCTGCCATAGTTGGGATGTATGCACCGCCAGCTGTACATGAACCACAGACCACTGACACCTAGAGGGAGTAAGATACAACATTCATGGGTAAAATAATAATTAATAATAATTGGTCATTTAGCAGACGCTCTTATCCAGAGCGACTTACAGGAGCAATTAGGGTTAAGTGCCTTGCTCAAGGGCACATCGACAGATTTTTCACCTAGTCGGCTCGGGGATTAGAACCAGCGACCTTTCGGTTACTGGCACAACGCTCTTAACCACTAAGCTACCTGCCGCCCTTGGGTAGAATATATTGTGTTTGGATTTTGTCTGCAATGGGATGTTTAGCATTTCTGTCTCACCTGAGGGATCTTCATGGCAGACATGATGGCTTCATTGTAGAAAGTACGTCCTCCTTGGTTTTTATCAGGGAAAATCTCAGACTGTGGATGGAGTAAACTTAGCAGTTACGTCTTGAGTCATTCATCAGTTGGATTAATCTCAATGAGTTGAGTTCATACCTGAAGAGGAAGGAATGCACCTCCACTATCTACCAGGTAGACACAGGGAAGCCGGTTCTGGATAGCTACATCCTGGGCTCTGAGCTGCTTCTTGACGGTTATGGGATAGGCTGTACCACCACTCACAGTGGCATCATTTGCAATAAACACACACCACAGCCCGTTGATTTTACCTATACCTGCAACAGTGAGAGAGTGCATAATGAAGCAATAAGGCTGAGTATAACTCATATTCTTACTTATACATATTTTGCTATTACAATGCACTGGAACAAGACATTTCCTTTGCTGCCAAATTTGAGGTTGGATATTTCACATTTTTATGAGTGTTAAGCATGCATTAAGAGCATCCGTCACTGACAGAGCAGAGAACCCTCTCTACCTGTGAGACAGCCTGCTGAGGGGATGTCTCCATAGGGTAGGCCCATTCCAGCAAAGGGAGACAGCTCAAAGTAGTATCCGTCATCAAACAGCATGCGAAGACGGTCCGTAACCAACATCTTCTTGTTTCTCTGGGTGTGCCTCTTTACTGCATTCTCCCCACCCCCCTTCTTCACCTTCTCCATGTATTCAATATACCTGGAAGGGCCACCATAATCACAAGGCTAATACTTTACAGCAGAAATGGAAAACTAGTTGATACACTGAGATTGCTGAGGTGTATGGAGTTTCTACCTACCTTTGTTGGCATGCCTGGCTGTTTCGTAGGTTAGCCTCAAATACATCATTGTGAATTGGCTGGAGGGCTTCATCTAAAACTGGAAAGGCACTTGGCAATCGTCTTCTGCGCACACTGGTACTCATCAAGCAGGCTGCCACTGGCTGCTGCTTAGCTCGGCCTGAGAGAAGGTGTGCCAAAGATTGCCATAGGTTGCCTGCTGATATCCTTGAGTGTAAACAGCGTTCTGGACGCCTGTGTGTGCTAGGTGTGCACGGGTCAACGTTCCATGGAGGTGACTGAGAGGAGGCATAACCAGGACATAGTCTGCCTTTGGTCCTCAAACCCCTAAAAAGCATGACTGACATGTTAGATAATGTTTTAATGGGAAATCTAGCTAATTGATTGATAACACGCCCCGTTATTTCTGATTTGTTGACAAGTGTAGCTAATGTTTAAACATTGTAGCAATCAGACTAGCTAAGTATGCCAAAGGTCATCACGGTATTTTGGCTGTTGTGAACGTATTACTAGCAGAAGTCGTCATCTAGCTTTGTAGCGATGTCAGCAATATGACATAGCTAACTACTTTGGACAATATGCACCATAGTACTTACCTTGAAAGGCAACTGTACATGACTGTTTAGCTGCGTAAAATATTAGACGTATCTCAAGTTTACTTCCATAACAAATGAACTTTGCTTCTAGGTGTTACACGAATTAATGTCTGGACGGAAACAAAAGTGATCCGACAATGCGCATATCTCCTTAGACCGTACCCCATACATACCACTAGATGGCGCAATTCACGAATCAAAAAGAAATATCAAGAATGTTTGTCAATCACAGAACACTCAGGTGTCGGTGGCGTTCATTAAAAAGGTGACATTACAGCCCCCTGACATTCCCCACTAAATGTTTATTTAATACATCATTTTTCATTCAACAGTAAAATAAATGAAATATGAATTAGTAGTCCCCTGTAGCTCAGTTGGTAGAGCATGGTGCTTGCAACGCCAGGGTTGTGGGTTCGTTTCCCACGGGGGGCCAGTATGAAAATGTATGCACTCACTAACTGTAAGTCGCTCTGGATAAGAGCGTCTGCTAAATGACGTAAATGTAAATGAAAAAATAATTACTGCCAATTATATGTATTAACCCTAGTGGTCCTCTGTAGCTCAATTGGTAGAGCATGGCGCTTGTAACGCCAGGGTAGTGGGTTCGATCCCCGGGACCACCCATACGTAAAAATGTATGCACACATGACTGCAAGTCGCTTTGGATAAAAGCGTCTGCTAAATGGCATATTATTATTATTTACATACTGTGGCTAACCTTTGAGGCCAAATGATTCCAACCAAATCATCCGTAAGTGATTGTTGTGACAATTGATCAAATGGTCGATAGCTGCTAATATGAATATTTCAATTAAATTAATCGATTGATACACTTTTTTCATAAAGTCTTCCTCTTCCCACCAAATGTGGGAAATAAAAAAAATTGTGTGAAGAGGATTATCTCATCAGCATATTTAATTCAATTATTGTATGTGCTTACTTAAAATTATATTATTATTTGCTTGATTTCTAAATAATACGAAATGATATGCATGCATTGAAAATGTTATTGGAGAACCTGAACCTCCCGTTTATCTGTATCCTCTGCTAGATCCCAACTTCCTCCGGCAAAGCTAAATCAGACAGCTCCTCCAGAGTGAGAAAGGAGTAGCTACACCGCAGACGAAGGCAAACGATTGGAAACGCAACCTTGGCGAGTTTTGAGCGGGGAATACGCTGACAATCTGGGGGTTTAGTAACAAGGGGAGTCCGCAATGACTTGGGGAACGGAGCTTTGGGTAAGTTTGCTAGCTATTGGTATAAACTATTTCGCTCTCTTCTTTGTTCTTGTGTGGACAACACACCTAGCTGCCACACAACTTGGCACGAATTCAATGAAGGTGCTCGGTTACCTTACTAGCGTTGTGTAAAGCTAGCCAGCTAAACAGGCTAATCCTTACATGCACCTTTACCATAGAGACGGTAAACATTTTACATTTTAGTCATTTAGCAGACGCTCTTATCCAGAGCGACTTACAGTTAGTGATTGCATACATTATTTTATTTTTCATACTGGCCCCCCGTGGGAATCGAACCCACAACCCTGGCGTTGCAAACGCCATGCTCAACCAACTGAGCTACATCCCTGTAGTAAACAATAGGCAAGACGTGTAAAAATATCAGCCAAGCAAGGCAGATAATTTGCTTACTTGTTATCATAACATGTCTCTGACAGTGGATCCGTTATTTATTATGTTTAGCAGTTGAATAGGGCGCCTATCACACCCTCTTTCTTAGTTCACAGACAGACTATCCCTTAAAAAAAGGTGGCGACAGGAGGGAGACACCGATAGCTAGCAAGCAACCCCCTGTACTGTTCACTCTCTCGATGCTCGTATGGATCTACTACCCCAGCATGAAACAATGCACGTGCACATTTAGAATAACTTGGTTCTAAAAGCTCGAGGTTATTTATTTATTTATTGCTCCGCTTCCTCGCTGGGGTCTTTGTGAGTGACTCTTCAAGCTTAACCATTGCTCCCAATTTGCTAGGAGATTGCGCAGGTCATATAGTTAGCTAAACAATAGTAGACTATTATTTTACCAATATAACAATGAACTGCCTATTGAACAGACGTTTTGGGGGGCTTATTCCAGGTACCGTCTTTGTCATGTTCTGTCTGGTCTGGCTTGTCTATGACTGCCAGCCCCTGCCCTGGCTACATCATCCGGTTTGTCCAAGGTGTTTATCGTCTTAATTACTTTGTGCATGTAGCCATCCACCATGATGTAACTTGCAACGAAATTCTGTTCCACCTTTTTTTGTTATTGAGAACATAATCTTCACCTATCAGGGACATTGAACTCATATGAAATGTAGCTATTCCAGTAACAGGGGTGTTTCCCATAAAACGCTTTGGTCATCACCGGTAGCTTTCCAGTGCAGAGGGGCAGCTTCTCCCCCTTATAATTCTTAAAATCTATAGTTGCAAAACCTGCAGTGTTGCTGCCAACATGATAGTCAAGGAAGTAATAGGCCTGTTTCATACCAATTACATTGATAGCTAGCTAACATTGATAGAGATAACTGCACTGTTATGTAGTTTGAGGGAACAGAACAATATGTTGAAGCTTTAGTCAACATGTGATTAATGTGGCTCATATGGGTTCACTTCAGTATGATAAACTTTGAACCTGTATTGCGGAGAAAACGTCTATATTTGCTACGGTTTTTCATGAACGAATCTCAGTTACTGCTGAATTAACATTCTGTAAAGCATGTCTGTGCCCTGAAAAGACTTCATTCTATTCAGGGAATAGCAGTATGTGAGGCTCAAATGGTTTGATTGCAAGAGCTGTCTGTATGATAAAGGTCTCAGCAAGTAGGCTATACTCCTAACCTACTGCACCATGATGTAAAATGCCTAATTCTTCCAACATTGCACAATTCAAATGTATTGATTTGCATGGTAAACACATTCTCCTTGCTGTGTAGAGACATAATAACCATCCTTGCTTTCTAGGACTCATGTTGCACAGCGGATTACTGCTATTGACTATTTACCCCAGATTTGCAGGATTATGTGGCTAATTGTCTGGGTGCATGTGTTAGGACCTTATCCCTTATATATTTAACTGTGTGCCATGCGGGCACCAACTTGATTCAAAATTCCCATTCTACATTGTTTTACTACTAAATCTCAATCAGGAATCTCCCTCAAAACATGATTGGGTTATTTCCCCAGAGTGTCTGGTTCGCTAAAAGAAATCTCTAGTTGCAGAATGAATTTGCATCTTTAGCACAGTAACATTGATGTTATCTGCCCTGTCTCTTTTTATGAATGAAATTAAGTTAGGCCTGGTTCCTTCTACCTAATGACACGTTGAGGATTTCTAATTCTGTATTTCTACTTTAGAACAACAGAGATTGCCCAACACATGCTAATAGTTGTCTGGTTTCACAATAGAGTATTCAGAAATGTAAACAAACTACAATGCAATTATGCAATCAAAACGCAACTAAGCCTATAGCTACAGTGAGGGAAAAAAGTATTTGATCCCCTGCTGATTTTGTACGTTTGCCCACTAACAAAGACATGATCAGTCTATAATTTTAATGGTAGGTTTATTTGAACAGTGAGAGACAGAATAACAACAAAAAAATCCAGAAAAACGCATGCCAAAAATTTTATAAATTGATTTGCATTTTAATGAGGGAAATAAGTATTTGACCCCTCTGCAAAACATGACTTAGTACTTGGTGGCAAAACCCTTGTTGGCAATCACAGAGGTCAGACGTTTCTTGTAGTTGGCCACCAGGTTTGCACACATCTCAGGAGGGATTTTGTCCCACTCCTCTTTGCAGATCTTCTCCAAGTCATTAAGGTTTCGAGGCTGAAGTTTGGCAACTCGAACCTTCAGCTCCCTCCACAGATTTTCTATGGGATTAAGGTCTGGAGACTGGCTAGGCCACTCCAGGACCTTAATGGGCTTCTTCTTGAGCCACTCCTTTGTTGCCTTGGACGTGAGTTTTGGGTCATTGTCATGCTGGAATACCCATCCACCCATTTTCAATGCCCTGGCTGAGGGAAGGAGGTTCTCACTCAAGATTTGATGGTACATGGCCCCGTCCATCGTCCCTTTGATGCGGTGAAGTTGTCCTGTCCCCTTAGCAGAAAAACACCCCCAAAGCATAATGTTTCCACCTCCATGTTTGACGGTGGGGATGGTGTTCTTGGGGTCATAGGCAGCATTCCTCCTCCTCCAAACACGGCGAGTTGAGTTGATGCCAAAGAGCTCGATTTTGGTCTCATCTGACCACAACACTTTCTCCCAGTTCTCCTCTGAATCATTCAGATGTTCATTGGCAAACTTCAGACGGGCATGTATATGTGCTTTCTTGAGCAGGGGGACCTTGCGGGCGCTGCAAGATTTCAGTCCTTCACGGCGTAGTGTGTTACCAATTGTTTTCTTGGTGACTATGGTCCCAGCTGCCTTGAGATCATTGACAAGATCCTCCCGTGTAGTTCTGGGCTGATTCCTCACCGTTCTCATGATCATTGCAACTCCACGAGGTGAGATCTTGCATGGAGCCCCAGGCCAAGGGAGATTGACAGTTCTTTTGTGTTTCTTCCATTTGCGAATAATCGCACCAACTGTTGTCACCTTCTCACCAAGCTGCTTGGCGATGGTCTTGTAGCCCATTCCAGCCTTGTGTAGGTCTACAATCTTGTCCCTGACATCCTTGGAGAGCTCTTTGGTCTTGGCCATGGTGGAGAGTTTGGAATCTGATTGATTGATTGCTTCTGTGGACAGGTGTCTTTTATACAGATAACAAACTGAGATTAGGAGAACTCCCTTTAAGAGTGTGCTCCTAATCTCAGCTCATTACCTGTATAAAAGACACCTGGAAGCCAGAAATCTTTCTGATTGAGAGGGGGTCAAATACTTATTTCCCTCATTAAAATGCAAATAAATTTATAACATTTTTGACATGCGTTTTTCTGGATTTTTTTGTTGTTATTCTGTCTCTCACTGTTCAAATAAACCTACCATTAAAATTATAGACTGATCATTTCTTTGTCAGTGGGCAAATGTACAAAATCAGCAGGGGATCAAATACTTTTTTCCCTCACTGTATCTGTAGTCACGGTATGACAGGTGTTTGTT